AATCATGTATATATGGCACTATTTTGTGTTTTCCAATTGTTAATAGAATTTACCTTATGCAATTGCATATATTTTTGAGGGAGCAATGGAATTTACCTGTTGCAATGGCATCTGGGATGTCTATCTTAGAAGAAGGAACTGCCACAGTTGATTCTACTGACAAAGTCCCACCTTGTGAGATGTTTTCCTGAACTGAAAATGATAATATTGCTCAACTATTGAAAAAAATCAACACTAAATCTCCAGGATCAAGAATTAAGAGTGAGTTCACATAAACTAAATACCATTTTATACTTTCAGAGCATAAAGTTGTAGGCATCTTTACTTCAGTCCCTGGTCCCCTTTTAATTAAGATGAGATAAAATATCATCCTCTTGGAAGGTATCACTGGCCACTCACTGATGTTGATATCAATGTGAAGAGAAAACAACTATTATTGTTCTTCCTTTTCCATGATTATGTTATTAGGATTGTCACATTTTGTACAGTATCAGTGTTTTATGTTATTCCTGGCTAGATTAGCAGTCACAAAAAAAATCTATAAAGCATATTTTTAGTTCATGAGCACCCTGTCATAAATTTAAAGGGGTAGCAAATAAAAATTTTGATTTTTAATCATATCTTATTATTATTATTAATGTAACTATTATTTTCAAATTTTCAGTACTGTTCAGAAGAATGACTTTCCAATAAAATAGTTACCTCCTACAAAGGACTGCATTCTGGCTTCCACTCTGGAATGCCACTAATTGTAGAGATGTTGATAAAGTAATTAATATTCAAAGGAATTCTACCTGTTTAAGTGTATAAGTGAATGTACTCTGGAAATCATTAAAAGCCTTTGGTTATAAAAAAAAAAATAATAATAATACACTTTTTTTATCCACCTCTGTTAAACATCTACTGGAAAGGATAATGCAAGTTTTCATTAAGCCATTCCAAAATTGTCTCTTTTTTTATTTAAAACATACCAGGTATGGTTGGAACAGCTGAGTGTTTCAGGCGTGGTGATATGGGACTCATGTACATATCAGGCTCGAAGTGTCTTGAACAAACCTTGTATGTATTATTGAGTTCCTTGCAGGTTTTCCTATACAAATCTGGTCTATTGACAAACTTCAGCCATGTTTCAGATCTGTAAAAAAAATAAATAAATAGATAAATAAATTTTAAAAAATGACAGTTAAAATGGGATTGCATTTAGGTCTTTAATACACTACTTTCTCATATTGCCTTTACATATCATAGCACACTAATTTTACTCATCCTGTTTGGTGGGTGTCAGAGAAATATTGTCTTTATACTGACTAATAAAGGGCCTCATAATTCCCTTGTATGAAATTGAAACTATGCCATCACCACCACCAAATGGAAGGGACCCTCTAGTCCTCATATATATATATATATATATATATATATATATATATATATATATATATATATATATATATATATGAAATAAATATATATATATATATATATATATATATATATATATATATATATATATATATATATGTATGAAATAAATAAATAAATATATATATATATATATATATATATATATATATATATATATATATATATATATATATATATATATATTTATTTCATATATATAAATATATACATATATATATATAAATATATATATATATATATATATATATATATATATATATATATATATATATATATATATATATATATATATATATATATACATATATGTATATATATACACATACACACACACATATATATATACACATACACACACACATATATATATACAGACATACACATACTGAAAAGTGAGATATATTACAAATTCAAAAAAATATTTTTGTTTTTGCTATTTTTTTCTCTTACAGATATTTTGGTAATTCTTTACTATATGTATGCATTAGTCAAAGACAAAGTCCTTAACGCTACATCACAATATTTAATCTACAATTTAACTTGCTGTGACTAAGTGTACTCTACAGGCACTGCCTAATGTTAATGGGGGGGTTCTGCCCCCTGATAGCTCCTGCAAATTTGTTCTTCACTTGGTATGTACAGCAAGAAAGAGCTAAAATTTGGAAACACCAAGTGGACTTGAGCTGTAAGTGGCACTATCCATGATTTTTTTTCTTTATTTTGTTCATATCTGCAGATCATTTCTATATTAATGACTGCAACTTTTTTTTTCCTCTAAAAGAATATCATCAGTTTGCCCTTGCATAGTGCATCCATACCAAAATCATCATCAATGTTTCTGTAAAGGTATTCTGAAAAATTACCAAAATGAGGATACACGGAATATCTACTGTCAAAAAAAAAAAAAAAAAAACTACAAAAATAAGTCTGCTAATAAAGTTCTCTTGTGCCACCCATACACTGCTTTCCGAAATAATTGTCATTTCGATATAAATACATATTAGGTTTAATTAGGTTAATCGCATTTATTTAGAGTGTCTCCCTTTCATCCATTATCTCCATAGGACTCCACAAAAAT